AAAAAGAAAAAATCTATGGGCATTAAAATGAAAGTCGGTAAAATTATGATCCGTTTCCTTATTTAAATGATTTGCAACATTAGTGGAGAATGCAGGATCTACAAAATTGCATATATCAAATTTATGGCTATTCATTCGTTTAGACACAGGTTGTTTGGTTTGACCAACATACTGCATGCTACATTTTTTACATGTTATCAAATATATACAATTCTTGGTTTGACAGTTAGTATGTTGACGTACATTTTAATAAGGACGATCATAATTTTACCGACTTTTCATTTATGCCCATAGATGTTGTTTACAATACTTTAGATCGTTTGTGCAAAGAAACATTTTGGATTCATAAGCTAAAAACTCATTTTCCAGAAGGAATGAACACAAAGTTGTTATACTCAATTAAATAATTCAAAATAAAATATCAATCCACGCTACAAATGCTAGAATTACGCCACATAGATATTCGTTTTTTTCCTATTATCATTTTTCTATATAATTAAACCCTATAGGAAATATTCGTATTTATTAATCCGATATTATTGTGTCGTTTTTAATTTTGATGCTTTTTGTTTTTGGTACACTTATCTCTCTTTTATCATGAATTGGAATTGTTCGTATTTGTTCGTTTTTTCCGCTAAAGTGGGCGTGACGTTAATTGTAAAATTACGACGTCACGTCCGTTGATATTATTATTATTTATTTACCTTGAAAAAAGGCATACATTTGCCGAAACGTTGGAAAAATAAAATATGATATTATACGTGTTATTGCTGTGACTTTATTATTTTAATGTATTTATATAGTATTTTAAGTTTATTAGTCAGATGTTGCATAAATTGATGCTAATTAACTTTAATTTTTATGTCATGGAAATCTTTCAATGTTTTGTTTTGTTATTTTCTTTTTTGGCACCAGTTCTCTATGTAGTTCAGTTTTAAACAGTGCGATATAACATGTATCTCACTGATAATTTCAATATCTCATCAAATATCACAAGTTGAATAAGTGTACGAATCACTTCTTCATATTCAATTTTGTTACATTGAAATACCGTTTATAAATAATGAATAAAAGCTTAAACTTTTATGTCCAGATAGTAACACTGCATTAATGAATGTAGTCATATAAAACCGTTAGTTACAGATTATATCTAGGTAGATTGCATGCTTAGCTCAAAATATGGTTTGATCGTCCGGCAAGGCAAAATTTGTCAATGACAATAGATGTCACGGTTCAGAACTGTTCGATATTTAGGGGAGGAGATGTGTAAGTGGCCGGACAGCTCAGTCAGTAGAGCCGCGAAACAGTATTCTGTGGCTTCCTGGTCAGGCTGCACAATTTTCTCACCCTGTGATATAGACTTAATTAGGAATTTAGAATATTTTGTGTTTTTCCCAGCTAATCCATAGGAACATGTACAAACAAACTTTATTCAGTAACAGCTTCGAAAATAAGCACAACAGGTTAACTTATGTATTGTAACTTGTTGTGCGTAACGATAAAAGCTATAACAATAAAACTTTGTTTGTACCTATGGAATAAACTCATGTGGGATAAGTAGACAGTCACGTGCAGGTAAAGCTGGTTAGGTGGACAAACCACCTTGATATGACCAAAATTGTGTTGATGTCAGCGTAAAACCAGACAAACAAGCAAACAAAGATTAAACTTTTTGGGCGTTGTTCAAGAACTATGATATTAATAATTTTTGACATAAAATATTGAAAAATATATAAAACAATAAATTTGTATCATCTATTTTCAGACAGCACAACATTATTCCGATCTTGTCAGACATTCTGAGTGATACAGTGAAAGAAAAAGTCTCCAGAATTATTCTAGCAACATTCAGGGTAAACTATTGATAGTATTTTTTATCCTTGTTTATCTTCTTTTATGTGTTTTTTGGCTATTTGAGCCAGACTATTAGAAGAATAAGGACAGGTTTTGCACTCACCCTGACATCAGTGTTGCCATCACACTTTGGTTAAGTTTTTTTGGTATGCAGTTGGAATGGGTTGGAACTTTCACTCACTTGTTTCCTGTGATTACTCTGTGATTATCACACACCCGTGCCGATTTTGCGACTCCGTAAATATGGTATTGCTCGGCCGTGCATATATTTTGACCTGACGTCATTAGCGTTATTTAAACATAGTGTAAAGACGCGCTAAATCTTAGCCTTATACTATAGAAGCGTCAATGAAAAATGACTCTTATTTTACCTTAAACGGTCTTTATTTTGGGTATGTGATAAATAGAATATTAAATTCATGTAACTTCATTACTGAATTTATTGCACTCGTTGAATAAAATAATATTATGCTCGCCAGAGGCTCGCATAATATAATTTTATTCAACTCGTGCAGTAAATTCAGTATTGAACTTACTCTCATTCAATATCCTCTAATTATCAAACTCTGAGTTTAAAAAGTTATGCCCTTTTTATTGCTTGTCAAGCACTTGAGAATTGTCGAGTGTTCATGAATTCCTCATGTGAGAAAGCCTTCCAACTAGCTTGCAGAAATGTGAATTGTTGTATTTTAAGGGCCTGCTTATGTCTGAAATAATTCACAGAGGGGAGGGAACCTATGGTCTTCCTCCATTAGTGAAGCTGGGAAGTCACCTTATGACCTTCACAGTCATTCAGTCTCAGTGTCTATGAGTCTTGAAAACCAGCACAAAATAAAAAAACAACAAGAAAACTGTAAGTAGTTAAGGTAGTCTTACTGTAATGCTTTCACACCAAAAAAATTTTAACTCGGACAATATCGTTACAATATTATAAATCAATCATTTCTGGAACATAAGTATTCCCAAATTCAATAATTTTTAACAGTTGATAAGCAGAATTTAGTACATAGCGATAAAGGATGAGTGATTGTGAATAAAATAATGCCCCAGATTTTGAAAAAATAACAATCTGGAAGTAACCAATTTGCTACGATATTAGCCAATGTTAGATCTTTTGGCGGGAAAACATTACAGTAAGACTACCTTAATGTGTAAGAAAACTTCTTTTGTTAATTCAGAATTTGTTAGAGAAACCAGAAGAAAGGGAGCTAGTGCAAGAGAATGCATTGTCTATGGTACAATGTAAAGTTCCTCAAGCAGCTGGAACTGTTGGAGGCAAGAAAGTTTGATGACCCAGACATCGTAGAAGATTTACAATACTTACAGGAGAAACTCCAGGAATCTGTACAAGATCTCAGGTACATGTTATTTAAGTGATTTTTTTCTTTACTAATTTTGAAGAAAGAAAAAAACCCAGCACACCAAAATACATTTAAAACCCTAATCATTACTTGGCTCTGCTCATCAACTGTATCTTATATAATGATATACTCATATACCGAAAATTCTCTTGAATTCCCTCGAAATTGTTGCTTAATACTGGCAATTTCTTATACATGATTATTATTGTGCTTATACTTAAAGCTATACTGGTTTCTGACACAAAAAATACCCCCTAAGCATAAAGCTGGCTGCTAAATCTTTATGTTTAGTAAAGGACCTAGTTGCCAATTTGTTACTCTTTACATTCATTTATTAGCTTGACTTTTTAAAAAAAAGAAAAATAGAGGTATTTATACAAAGATGTTGGCACAAGACCTTTTATTAGACCAGACTAACCTTGACCTTCATTCATTAACGACCTTGTTGACCATTACCTTAGATATCTGGTGTGTTGAAACTTTCCTGGAGTTTGATTTCAGGTCCATTGGACCAAGATTACTGAAGATAAAAGTCTGCCTCCTTAATACATGGCTTGATAGTTTCATTTTCGGGCAAGGCAAAATTACTCCATGACAATTGGATCTCTGACATGGAATCTAGTGGTCATATGCCTCTTGTTGCTGATTCATGAATCATGTTGAATTACCAGAAGTTGGTTATTACTGGTTTGTTATCCAGGAAGGTTAGTTAGATGGACAGACCGCTGAAGTCCATCTGTCTGTCTGCCTATAGACTTAAAAAAACAGTGGAATGTGGACATATTCTTGTCCTATAGACACATTTATAGTTATCTGTGTGACATAAATGTGACACCGTCTTTGTGCTTTTTCAGTTCTTTTGATGAATATGTGACAGAGATCAAGTCTGGCAGGTTGGAATGGAGTCCTGTACATAAAAGCGACAGATTCTGGAGAGAAAATGCAATACGACTTAATGAGAAGAATTATGAATTACTTAAGTAAGTATTGGTTATGCATCAGTCAGTTGTAAACGAGGCCTGAAATGGAGGGGGGGGGGGGGGGGACCTTTACCAGGGATTTGTAAATCTAAACATTGTTCCTACTATTCCATGTGGGTGGAGGGGCCATGGTTAATATAATTTGACTTGTGCATTAAAGGCCCATAAAGCCTCAAAAAGTATAACCTTTATTTCTGAAACAGCATTTATTTTTGGTGTCCTTTTCCAGTTTCCATCATCTTTTCCATCTTATGTGCTTTGTTAATTATTACAGTTGGCGCAGCCACAAGTGAAATATGAACTTTTGGTGTTCACAAGGTGAAATATATTTTGATCTTACACTAAACAAATTTTCTTTTTATTATATGCAAAGAAACGTTTATAATAGATATTTTCACCTAATACTAAATGAGAATACTGTTTTTAAAGCTCACTCGATGAAATAAAATTTCATCTTACACACAAAAAACAAATATCCTCTATATATTCATGTAGATTCAATACTAAATTTATTGAACTCTGTGTTATAAAACAATATGAAAAATAAAAATAAGATTTTATTTGACTCATTCAATAAATATTAGCATTAAACCAACATTCATTCATTATACTCTATTTATAGAATTAATGTACTTTAACAGTATTCCTGAGAAAATGTTGCAAGCAAAATATTGAAAGTGTGTACTTTGTACCAGTATACTGTGAAATCATTTGTATTCGTGGGCATGAAATTTCGTGGTTTTATCAAAACAGGCATTTTCGTGGGTTCTTAAATTCGTGGATTTTCATTTTCTTGTAAAAAAAAAAAAGTAATGGAAAGTAATCTTTCACTTAATCACTGCGCTGTTTTACTTACCCCGTGTATATTACACAGCTCTTGTCAATAAAGTTAATCCTGGCCTCTGGCAGTAACACAATTACTGTCGATAATTGACTGCAATTAACACCTTTGTGTGACATGATATGCAGCTCCAATTATAATGCCCTATAATTCGCCCAATGTAAACATCGCATAAATTATACGACATCTGCCAATTTTTAACCAGCCAGTAAAAAAGTTAAACACCCCGAATTAGTCCAAAACTACACACTACATCACATCGACTGTGTAAATTTATATGCATCATAAATTAATACCAATAAATGGCTCAATACAGTTACATACATGTATGTGTGCATCTAGTGTAAAGACGACGGCTTCTTTGATATTTTCGGAATAGTAGTCACACAAATACATATTGAAAAAAATATATTTAAATGGATCATATAAACACTAGTCGTTAAAAGTTTTATCGGGGATAATTAATGCACTTGGTTCCCATATTTACTCGATTATGTCACGTATTCTGGCTAACACAATCAAGTAGCCTACAACGATCAAGTACTAGTAGTCCCCTGATGTTTACATGCGACGAACATTTGTGACAGCAAACTGAAGACATACAATCGATTTTTCTTTCAAGTTTCTTAAATATTGCAAAATTAAACTATTTATGGATTTAATTTGTCACTGACCTGATTATAATATACATTCATACCACAAATATCGGCCGGAAAAGCGCCGACGCATGTTGTGAGACAAGCGTTTGTTGGGATAAAATTTCGTCGGGTCTTAAATTCGTGGATTGACCTATCCACGAAAACCACGAAAATTCGTGCCCCACGAATAATGATGATTTCACAGTATATAAAATATTTCATATTCACAAAAAAACAACAACAAAAAAACAACATACAATTATTTTGATTTAGCAGAAAGGAAAACTTTTCACACTGAGTGTTTAACAGTGAGTAATATATGCTTCATGTCATACATGTAAACAAAAACCTGATATTTCATGAATAATCAGATAATATTTTGGATATATATTTCAGAATTTTAGTTCGGTTGTTAGAAGGTAGCAAAGATCCATTAATTCTGTCAGTAGCAGCACATGACATTGGTGAATATGTACGATATTATCCCAGAGGGAAAAAGTAAGTGTTAAATATTATATGTGTATATCATCGACTTAGTGCAGTAATGGGGTTAACTCTCATTGAAATCTGATAGAGAGTTACAGTGGTGTTTCTGTAATGCTTCCCAGCCAAAAAAAAATCTTAACATCGCCAATGTCATAGCTAATTGGTTATTTCCGGAACGTTATTTTTTTGAAATCTTGGGCATTTGAATATTTATAATCATTCATCCTTTATCGCTATGTACCTGATTCCACCATGTAAAAAATTTCAGGTTGTAAACGGTTAAAAATTATTAAATACTGAAGATTTGTGAAAATAACGTTCCAGAAATGACAGATTTTTTACGATATTGGCGCCGATGTTAGATTTTTTTGGCGAGAAAGCATTGCAATTACACTACATTAACCAATTATTGCACTAAGATGCCAATGTACGGAATATTTCTTGACTGTGGTATTGACTTATTCTTATTGCTCGAGTTGATCATTAAAAAAGTCCATTCCTTCGAGTCTGCAAAAGTGTGAATACAAGATAACGCAACCAACTAGAGTGTGACCTTCTACCAGGAAATCACACTCGTGTAATTTGATTGTATTTTCATCACAAAACTTGTAGGTATATGATAAATGATACTATTTACTGACATTATCAATGTAAACAGTAAGAATAAAAAAATTAAAAATCCTTGAAAATGCTTTAAAATATCTGTTAAAACTTAAAAGATTTACTTGGCTATATGATATATAAATAGTGTGGAAACCACTAGTCTACACTACATGTATAACATTAAATGAGCCGTGTCACGACAAAACCAACATAGTGGGTTTGCGACCAGCATGGATCCAGACCAGCCTGCGCATCCGCGCAGTCTGATCAGGATCCATGCTGTTCGCTTACAAAGTCTATATCAAGTAGTCAAACTGATAGCGAACAGCATGGATCCTGATCAGACTGCGCGGATGCGCAGGCTTGTCTGGATCCATGCTGGTCGCAAACCCACTATGTTGGTTTTGTCGTGACGCGGCTCAAATTTGCTTTTCTCAGAGAGAACTTCTGTTTTTACCATATGAAAAACGTGTTCCCACAAGTTTTACATATTTATGGCAATTTTACCCTTGTAAACTTATTTTCAATACATTTTTTAATTAAGATGATTAACATTTTTCCAGTGTTATAGAGCAGCTGGGAGCTAAACATCTTGTAATGCAGTACCTTACACACGAGGATCCTAATGTTAGATACGAGGCATTGATAGCTGTACAAAAATTGATGGTTCACAATTGGTATGATTTTAATCTCTGTTGTCTATTGTGTTGTTTAATACAGTATTGTATGGATATTTATTAACCAATAACTTTCTTAAACAAAAAAAGATAATTCTTTGCGCCACCAGTATTAAGCCAAGCGAGGCTGCACATCCATGCAGTCTGATCAGGATCTATACTGATGGTAGCTCAGTTTTTGTAATTTGATATTGAAATCCCTTCAACTTCAAATGGACTGTCTCAAATTCAAAGCAAGTGGTCTCTGATGTCTGACTAGATGCTAAACTATTGACTGTCTGTCTGTTTGGTAGCTTTTAATATTGAAACCTAGTAATACAATGATTAAAAAGCAGGATATTCTTGTACAAATATAATTGTTAATTAAGTAAATTGGTTTTGATCGCTAACTGTGTGGGTTCCAACTCCGTCAAGGGCAAACTGTTGTTTCCTTGAGCAAAAAAAACTTTACCCTCATTGCTCAGTACTGGTTGGTTTCAGGAATAGATTTGAAAGTGTTTCTAAAAGATTATAGCTTCCTACACAAACTAAAATAATTATGTATAAACTATAGCTTATAGCATAATCGACTTGAGTCTGTTTCCTGGAACCAACTAGTATAGTTGACATAATGTGGAAAGATGGTGATGACCCCAGTAAGGCTCAGACCTACAAATCCAGGTTTGAGAGATTGTACCCTAGATATATTTTCATTAACTAAGATGTTTGAAAATGCATAACAAAAAGATAAAAGTATCATGTCAATTAAATATTTAACTGTTCTTTCTTCCAGGGAGTACCTTGGAAAACAGATATCACAACAAAGGGGCAAGAAGAAGCCCCAGGGGTGATACCAGCCAAGGCATAGCATCAAACCATCCATACGTTAATTTTGCTAGTCAACAATAACTGTTGTATGTTTCCAAAAGTGACCAATTAATCTTGTGATAACTTTTCTTGAATGAAAAAAAAATATATAAATATATCAAAAAACTTACAAGTGATAAAGATAAGCAGTCATTTCTGTGCCAGGCTGAAATCCAATTGGTTAATTTGTATTGAATTCATTCAAATTGACCAATAGAAAGTTGTGTTAGAATAGACTGGTTACCGTTGCTTGATATCACCTTGACAACAAAAATTAACAAGAAGATGAATTATATTGAATATTTATGGCCATTTACTCTATAAAGAAAGAAATAAGCATTTTAACTCTATAATTGAAAATTTTATTAAATTATGAAACCATTTTTGGATGTTATATGGCATTTGTTATAATCAGTGTTAACCATTAATTGTCACAAGACTTATATTATGTAGGGCTGTCATGTTATATCATATATAACATATACAAGTATAGAGCTGTTAAAATTCTACGCATTTGTCGCACAGTAATTCGGCATTAAAAGTTAAGTATATAAATTATAGGCTTATTGATGTGGTTAAGAAATTGATATTTAGGGGAAATTATTTATTTATTAGATAAACCTCAGTCAAAAAAAAACCTCAGTAAAGTCAGTTTAAATGGACTTTTTTTGCTACCTTGCTACTGGTTATTAAAATTGTTGATTTGAAATGGAGCTTATTTTCAATAGAAATTTCCCTTTAAAAAAGTCGGAATGATTTTAATTATGTACCTTTGATAAAATAAACACAAATTAACTGGGCAGCCCTGATAATCAGATTTTAGTGCTAGTGTTTGCTTTATAATTATCAATCTGTAGGAAATAGTTAACAGTAAGAAATCCTAGTGTTTGAATAGTCTGGAAATTTTTTATCATAGAGTTTTGATATATTATATGACAAATGTTAATGTAAATGTTTTATAGATATATTATGTTATGTGTTATGTCAGTTTGAGATATATTATGTTATGTGTAATGTCAGTTGAGCTGTAAAGTAGAGTTCCTATTGGTCCTAGGTTTTGTGTTCCAGTAAGGCTACCAAATTGTCCACACCCTGTGACATACTAGTAATAGTACTTTCAATAAGGGCCTTGCTGGAATGTTATGTGTCATCATTAAATGCCTTTAGCATAAGCGCCTCTTTTACTGTTAAAGTTTTTTTTGATATTTGTCACATGCTGCTGTTAATATTAAACGATAACTGTAATATGTTAAGTCTGTTCAAACATAAATCAAGTAATTGATATCTTAACAAATATAGGTTCATGCAATTGGGCAAAGTCTTCTAGTGTTATGTATGAAATTGTAAACAACAAATTTGAACAACTTTGTGAATGTTTTTTAAAATAAGCTTATTTAATTGTTTCACATATGGTGTGAAATTTTTTGACATTTATTTATAAGTATTAATGCATTTCTGGTCATTAAATAAGTGTACAAATGGACAAGACAAGGTGACAAAAATTTTAACTGGTTATTTTTATATTTTGTGATACCAAAACCTTTTGCTGGCCAGTTGTAAATCTTACAATCATGGTGATAGTGCCTCTCAACAAGTTTGATCCTTTTGCAGCAATTTTTCAGACTGTTACCATAATATATGCAAAAGGAAATATGTCACAAAGTGACAGGGTGACTTTTGTGATCGCTTTTCGTCCGTACGTAAACTTTTACTTTAAATGACATCTCCTCATAAACCACTAAGCCAATTTCATCCAAACTTCACAGGAATGTTCCTTTTGGTGGTCACCTAAAAAAATTGTTCAAAGAATTTAATTCCATGCAGAACTCTGGTTGCTATGGCAACCGAAAGAAAAAAAAACTTTAAATATCTTCTTTTAAAAAACCCAAACGAGCTAGAGCTTAGATATTTTGGCATGAAGCATCTTCTAGTGAGTGTCTACACATTTGTTTTGTTCAAAAATAAAAGCCCTGGGGGTCAAAAATTGGCCCCGCCCCAGGGGGTCATTGATATTCCCTATATGCATATAGTAAAAACTTTAAAAAAATCTTCTTTTAAAGAACCCAAAGAGCTAGAGCTAAGATATTTAGCATGAAACATTTCTTCTAATGAGTGTCTACCAAGTTTGTTCAAATAAAAGCCCTGGGGTCAAAATTGGCCCCGCCCAGGGGGTCATTTGATTTTCCCTCTATGGCATATAGTAAAAACTTTAAAAAAATCTTCTTTTAAAGGACTCAAAAGAGCTAGAGCTAAGATATTTAGCATGAAACATGTTCTAATGGGTGTTTTACCAAGTTTGTTCAAATAAATGCCCTGGGGCAAAATTGGCCCCGCTCCGGGGGTCATTGATTTCCTATATGTGTATTAGCAAAAACTTAAAAATCTTCTTTTTTTGAAAAAAAACCAAATAGCTAGAGTTTTAAATATTAAGCATGAAACATCTTCTAGGGTAAGTGTCTACAAAGATTGTTCAAATAAAAGCTCTGGGGGGTCAAAAACTGGCCCCCGCCCCTGGGGTGTCACTGTTTTTTAACTTTATTGTATAGTAAAAACATAAAAAAATCTTCTTTAAAAACCCAATGAGCTAGAGCTTAGATATTTAGCATGAAACATCTTATGGGTGTCTACCAAGTTTGTTCAAATATTTAAGCCCCTTGGGTTAGAATTGGCCCTGCCAGGGGGGGGGGGAAGGGGGGGGGGCAGGTCATTGTTTTTCATTATATATGTGTGTAGTAAAAACTAAACATCATGAAACATCTTCTAATGGGTGTCTTCCAAGTTTGTTCAAATAAAATGCCCTGTGGTTTAAACTTGGCCCCGCTCCAAGGGCCTATATACAGGTGAGCGACCTCAGGGCCATCATAGCCCTCTTGTTTTTTCTGATGGAACTGAAAGTGATCAGCCTTTGCCACCATGTAGTCTGGCCAGGCTCTATACTGTTGGTTGAGTAACTTTTAAAATGTTCATGTTGATGTCCCAAAAAAAGATAATTTGGACAGGGTCAGTTCTAAAAACAATGTAAGTTGGACAAGTTGATAGTGTTGAGTTTGTGTTCCAACATTACCATATCTTCATCAGAACATGCCTCTGTATGTTAAACTTAGGAAAAAAATATGACAAAAAAGCTATGAAAAATGTATTAAGGTGAAAGTTTTCTTATTTATAGACATTCCAGTTTTTACCCTGTAGTTGCTTAGAAATACGAATATTTTGATGTCCTCATTATTTGATATCATGTTTCATACTTTATTTTTTAAATTTTGATGAAAATTGTTTAATTTTCATGCTGTTTATTATTATTATGTAATTATACTATGTTGTTTTTTGTATACAAGAGATAAAATATTTTATTTGAAAAAAGTAACTTATGGTTTGGTTTGTCTTCTCTCTAAGATTTACATGTTTATACAGTTAAAGTTTTTTTTTAATTGAAACAAAAAATCATAAATAATATGGTTCATTCAACAATATTAAAGCAAAAAGTGTTTGGTATCTGCTCAAACTCCTATGCAGTGCCCCCCCCCCCCCCCCCCCCCCCCCTTTGCTTACACTGCCATTAAATTTTTGAGGCAATAGAGAAAAATGGAATCCTTAAATAACGCCCGGAAGGACAGTAAGTTTTAGTTACATGTAGTTGCTGGAGAGAAAGGGAAAGTAGTATCATGAAGAAATATAAAAGCTAAAGAATAAATAAGGAAAATTTAAGGTTAAAAGTGAATTCTAGAAATATAGACGCTACGGTAGTCTTATAAACCTTGTCATATTCTTATGATGTGGGAGTTTGAAAAAAAAATGGAGAAGTATGAGTAAAAAATAATAATTTCTAGAAAAACACTTTAATCAGAAATCTGGACTTGGTCACATGAGTGAGTGGGACAGCTCTCAATATACTCCGAGCTTGAAAGAATGTGTATAATCTCCATGCTACCTTCTACCCTTATTTCAAGTTTCATAAAAATATACATTTTAAGTTATCAAAAATATTATTATATTTGCCATATTTTAACCACAGCAACCAAGTCGTTCAACATAGCAAGAAAAAAAAGATATGCATAATCTCCAGACTGCAATCTACCTGTCCCATATTTCAAGTTTCATAAAAATATTTTCAGCACTTTTTGCGCTGTTTTTGTGTTTTTAAGTGTATTTGTTGCCTTAGCAACCAAATTGTTTAACATAGGAAATTAAAAAAACATGCATAATCTCCAGCCTGTCATACATCCATATAGATAGATATATACATGCATCAAGTTTCATAAAAATATTTTCAGTACTAAGTACTTTTTGCGTTATCACGGAATCCAGTTTTGTTGACGGACGGACGGACAGAGGGTAAACCTTCTATCAGTTATTGAAGGTTTAATCGGTTTTCACTCCACCGGAAGTAGCTTAATTAATTAGGCGGATGTTTAAAAACGAAAGTAGCGTAGTCATGGAGTATTTTTTTGCTATTGTAGCGTGTATCGAGGTGTTGATTAATTATTCAAGTGCTACAAAATAAAATTATTTTAAACCACAAGATTCTCAAATGTAAATATATAATTTTTCTTGGGATACTTATCCGAAATGATGTGAAATATTTTATATAAATTTTCCTTCTGGTTTTTTAACCTTTTGATTATATATTAACTTAATAAAAAACTCTAGAAATTATTATAAAATGCAAAAATAACAATCTTCAACTAATACTTAAATCATTCCAAAAATATATATTTCAAGAAACAATAAAACTCTATTCACTCTTACTTTCAAACAAACTAAAATTTACATTCCTAAAACCTATCTCTTATTTCTAACGTTATATTTCAAATCAACAAACTCTTATCATAAAACGTTCAAAAACTGATTCTTCTAATAATGTTTTCAAATAAAACTCTTCTCTATCAAAACACTTGTCCAAGAGGTTTTACTTAGGCAATAAGGTATTTTAGCACCAGTATCTAAGATGCCTGGCTACTAGTAAATACAATATTACCTATATCCAACTCTTGCAAGGACAACAAGCAGACTAACTATTTTAAATCATAGAAGTAAAGATATTTTTAGCACCCAGTATCTAAGATGCCTGGCTACTAGTAAATATAATTACAAACTTAACGGTCCGGAGCCAAAACCAAATCTAAATTCTCAACATTGCGCAAGCTCTTATATATGCCTCTGTTGCGTCATCTCGCGGTGGATTAAAACAATGATTTTGATTGGCATAAAATAATAAACCGCTTTTGATACCCTGATTTTAATTGAAACTTAATAAGCGTCTGTTACTTTGGATTAAAATTTCCTTACAAACCATAAAACAAAACAGATAAACAATTCAAATGATAAACACCTTGACAATACTTTAAATTATATCGTTACAAAAGTATTATTACTAAATAAACCTTAATTACCTATTGGTTTATCCTGTTATCTTCACATAAAAATAAATTGTTTTTGTTTTTCTGTACAAATGGCGGAATCATACTAGGGAGGTAATCAAATTGAAGTTTATAAAGTATAGGAAGCATTTTTTCGTCACATTACCCACGCCTCCGACTTCATGCGTCCCGCAATGTTTCTTTTAAATTTAGCCCTACATCTGTATGTCTCATGTTATTAAACGTTTTAAAATGAAGAAAACAAACACTTTCAAACATGTACTTGAATTATATTTTTACATATACGTTATGTAATGATAACATTAAAACCAAAAAAACTTAAAAAAAATATGTTCCGAAATACTCAAGCTTCAGTATTTGTTCTCATGATAGATAATCTATTGTCTATGCTTTCTTACACTTCATCTCCATCTGTAACACACATTTCCCTTCTGTTATTATTCTCCTTATAACAACATCTTCTGACTTAATATTCATTACCCTTTGGAAGATAATCACCCAAGACTAATTGTCTGTTCCCTCTGATTTGCTCCTGATGTAATAGTTTCAAAACTCTGAAATACTTTTCTTACTCTCTGACTTAAAATTGTCATTTCATTGTGTTGATCTCCCATTTGTTTCAAAGGTTCAGTTCACAATCTATATTAATAAGATTTTCCTCTTTTTCAGTTGTAACATTATTTTTCTGGGTTGTCCCTGCCTTAGTTTTGACTAGTTTCCGCCTTGGTTTGACTTGTAAAGACTTTCTGTTTCTTAAACATGTCTTTTGATAATTCCATCATAGGACATTTTCTTTTAGGAACAAAAAAGTGTTGGCTTTGTTTTGCATTCTAAGAATACTTTGTTCCGATTTACTTTTTGTCTTTTAATTTATTTCCATCACATTTAATATTGTCACTGCTTGACTCCAAACATATCACATTAAACTTTCACTCTTATTACCGCTTTCGTCTCTTCCACTTGTCACATCTAACATGTCATCTTCTAAACATATTTCTGGGTCCACATCCCAATCACTATCACTTGACTGTAACTCAACTAATTCTTTCTTTTTCATTTTTCTCACTTTCTGCAATCTTTCCTTTTTCGTGAAACTTTTTTACATGTACTTTCAAATATCTCTCTGTCTTGAATGTTACTCCACACACATCACATGGTATTCTTTCTTTTTTCGCCCCCCCTCACCTGCATGTTTTGACATTTTATCTCTTGATAATGCTGACCTGGAAATAGAATAAAATATAATCATTAAACCAATATGGTTTCTTCTTTCCCTACCATATCTACTTTTACTTGATACTATTTCTTCACGATTCTCTATCTCTTGTTCATCTATGATTGTATCTTCCTGAAAAGAATCAGAAATTACTGGGCTCTCTTCAAATGTTAAAACTGTTTTGGTGCTTTTCGCATTCTGTTTGCATGAATTACCTGTAAAAGAATTTGATTTTCCACCAATTAACTTTGTATAAAACATCTGATAATATTTCTTGTTACGGTTTATAAGGACCCCCTCCAAAAAAAGTTAATTTCGAAGAACATCCCAACTTCTTAACAGGAAAATATACAAACACATTTTCATCTTTAGCAAATTTTTCATATGATAATTTTGAGTCATGAAATACTTTTTGACGTTTCATTGATTTTTCAGTAGTTTGCCTCACTAAATTATGAGCGGATTCTAATTTTTTCTTGCAACTCCCAAACCCATTGAGAAGGAGGTATTCTTTTCATGTTTGGAGGCATTTCGAAAGCTAAGTCTAGGGGAGTATTTTAATTCTCTTCCTAACATTAACATATTTGGCGTCATTCCTGTTGTCTCGTGTTCAGTAGATCTATAAAGCCATCATAACATATGGGAGTAATTCATTCCCAGTTTTTATGATTTTCTTGAACATACATACTTAACATTGAAGCTAATGTTTTATTAAACCTTTCCACCATTCCGTCAGATTGAGCATGATATGGTGTTGTCCTTGTTTTCTTTATCTGTAATAAATTACATAACTCACGGAAAAGCTTACTTTCAAACTGTGATCCTTGATCTGAATGAATATTGTTTGGAATACCAAATCTAGTTATAACATTGTCAACTAAAATTTTAGCAACTGTGCTAGCTTCCATATTAGACATTGGAAAAGATTCAGTCCATTTGGTGAAATAATCGGCTATCAACCAAAATATACTTATTTCCCGAATCAGTTTGAGGCAATTCACCTAGAATATCGATTGCAATTCTTTCAAACGGATAGCCACTCCTTACAATTTGCATCGGAGCCTCTCTTTGTTTGGGTAAGACCTTTTCTCTTATTACATGCTTCGCATCCAGAAACATATCCCCTTACATCATTTTGAAGTCCTGGCCAATAAAATCTTTGCCTAATTTTACTTAAAGTCTTTCTAATACCAAGGTGACCTGAAGCTTTAATATCGTGAGAATATTGTAAAACTAAATGTCTTAATTTAAGGGGAACTATTGCTTGCCAATAGATATGTTCGCTTCCTAATACTTCCCATTTTTAAACTAAAAGATCATCATGAATTTCTAATCTTGGCCACTGACTCCAAAGCGATTTTAAGAAGAAATTTTCACTTAAAATATCTTTGTATTCTGGTCTGTTACCAGTTTTTTATCCATGTTTTAATCAACTGTATATTTCTATCTTCACTTTGAGCCTTTTGCAAATTTATTTCCCCATAACTATCTATGTTCTGTTCAAGTGAAGTAACCAAACATACATTGCTTTGAAATTCAGGATGGTTTTCAAGGCGGCCGCATTGTCTACATGGAATTCTGCTCAAACTGTCTGCATTTTTATGAAGTCTTCCTGGCCTATGTTCTATAGACATATTATAGGCTGCTAATACCTCTAACCACCTTGCAACTTGACATTCTGGATTTTTGAAATTCATTAACCAACGCAGTGTGAACCATGATCAGTCTTACAGTAAAGTTTTGACCATACAAATAATGTCTAAAATATTTAACAAAGTAAACCAAATGCCAACAACTCCTTTCGAGTTACACAGTATTTTTCGTTCAGATTTGGTTAAAGTTCTACTCGCATACGCAATAACGTGCTCGGAGTTACCAATTTTCTGTGAAAGTACACTTCCTATTGCAAATTACTGCCAAACATCTAAAATAAATATTTTTGAAAAATCAGGATGAGCTAAAACTGGTGCTTCAGTAAGCATTTGTTTTAATTTGATAAAAGATTCTGAACAATCTTTGTTCCATAAAAATGGTCGACGTTTCTCTGTTAGTGTGAAAAGTGGTTTTGCTATTTCAGAAAAGTTGAATATAAATTTTCTATAGTAACTGCAAAGACCTAAGAACGACCTTACTTCATGAACATTATTCGGAATAGGCCATGTTTTTATGCTCTCAATTTTTCTTTGGATCAGTTTTAATACCTGAAGCCGATACGACGTGACCTAGAAATTCGACTTCTTTAGCAAAAGACAGCATTTCTTAGCCTTTAATTTTAAATTAGCTCCTTCCATGCGTTGAAAAATTGCTTCTAAATTTTTAACCATGTCTTCGAAAGTTTTTCCTGTCACAATTATATCATCTAAATATATCAAGCAAGTTTGCCAATGAAGCCCTGCAAGAACAGTTTCCATAAGCCTTTCGAAAGTTGCAGGCGCGTTGCATAAACCAAATGGCATAACTTTAAACTAAAATAATCCAAATCTAGTTGAAAATGCAGTTTTCTGTTGATGATCTTTTTCTACTTCAACCTGCCAATATCCAGAGGAAAGATCGAGGCTACTAAACCACTTTGAACCTGATAATTGATCGAGCGATTCGTCTATCCTCGGAAGCGGATATGCATCTTTTATTGTCACATTATTTAATTTTCTATAATCTACGCAAAAACGATGTGTCCCGTCTTTCTTCTTAACCATTACTACACCACTAGACCATGGACTTGAAGAAGGTTCTATAATACCTTTATCTAACATTTCTTTTATTTGTTTTTCAATTTCTTTATTTAAACTTTCTGGGACTCGGCGTAAAGGCTGTTTAATTGGTCTAGATTCTCCAGTTGGAATCTGATGTCTCACTATGCCAGTTCGGCCTATATCAGTTTCGGACTCGGAAAAAATATTTGAATATCTACTTAACAATTCAGCTACTTGCTTACTTTGAGATTTATCAAGGTCTTTGACAGATCTTTCATAGAGATCTTTCATATGTTCTGGTATTTTTGAAGACTCTTCACTTTTATTTGACAAAGTGCTGACGCTGATAATAGGACTTAAAGTTGCTAAATTAGTACCTGGATATAAGATTTGTTCTTCTTCAGAAAGATTCATTATTCTGATAGGGACATTACTATCTCCAAAAACTAAAGACTTTGCTATCAAACTTTTACCATATGTATGTTGATTTTCAACAGGTTCAACAATATATAACCCATGTTTTTGTATTAACTGGGGGTTGGAAATTAAAATTTCAGATCTAGGAGGAATGATAGATTTATCTTTTACAGAAATTCTATAGCAACCTATGCTTCCTCGACAATTTAAAGGACACGTTTTACCTTGAATCAACATCGTGTTTTCGGCTACATTAACAGTTATATTATGAGTTTTCATGAAATCAAGTCCAAGAACAACATCAATATCAATATCTGAAATAACGACATTTGCTTGATATTTACAATTATTGATTTCAATATCAATACTAGTTTTACCTTTTGTATTTAAAGGTGTCCCTGATGCAGAAATAATTTCTTGAGTGCACATGTCTAATTCATTCTTATACCCAAGTAATCCAAAGAATTCAGTCGAAATTAATGTAAGCGTTGCTCCTGTATCTACAAGACAATTTGCTTTTTTACCATTTATAATAGCTGTAACATATAACCCTGAACCTTGCTTAGAAACAGAATAAGTTTGCTTAGAAGATGAATGACCGATGTGTTTTTCATTAGAAACTGTATTTTTAAAACGTGTTTTATTGTTTGGACAAGTATATTGACTATGACCCTCCTTTCCACAGTTGAAGCATTTGAAACTCTTTGTTCTATTTTCAGTCTTATTTGTATTTGAAAAAGTTCTTGTTGAACCTCTGGGGTTGAACGTATTTGTTTGATATCTATAGTTAAAATTATTTCGCTCTGATCTATCTACAGTACTTGATCTCTCTTTTCCAAAAGAATCAAACCTTTTCTTCAATTCTTCAAAGCTTTTAGTCAACATTTCCATAGCACTGTTTTCTTTCGAACTTTCTTTGACTTTATTAGAATTTAAAGATCTATAACTACCCTGTTTTTCGAAATGTTTTCGTTCAGCCCTATTAAAAGCTTCTAATTCAACTGCATGTCGAACAGCGTCATTTAGATTTAATGGTCTTGCTTGTTTTATTCTTAAACGCATTTCTGAACTAAAAATTGAGTCAATAAATTGTTCTTTTGCTAATGTTTCTTTAACATCACCAGGGGCTGAAGGATATGCCAAATTTGTTAAACGTCTTATGTCTTGGGCCATTTCTGATAAAGTTTCAGTTGCTTTCTGGCGTCTTTCCCGTAATTGTACTCTATAGAGTTCTGTCTGATTTGGGGGAGCAAATCGCTCTTGAAGTGCATTTACTAATTCTGTATAACTACTTGAATTTCCTAAATTACCAAAAACACCTTGAGCATTTCCTCTCAAAGATACAGCAAGATAGAGACCCTTTTGTTTATATGACCAGTTATTAATTTCAGAACAAGCCTCAAAATGAGCTTGGTAATCTATCCAAGACCCGGTGCCATCAAATGTAGCTGGTTTCATAAAAACAGAAGACCTATTTGAATTAAAGGTACTCCACTGAGGTACGGCCGAATGTCACAAAAAAAAGTAAAATTTCACGAACCGATAATTTTTCGTTACCTGCGTGTTAGGGACATTCAAACAGAATCAGTGATACATTGATATGTGTTCTTTGGATTGGCAAATCGTTTGAAATACATATTTTCTCCAATTTTGTGGGAAAAGCGTTTAAACACCTTTCAGTTTGCAAATCTGAATAAAAACAACGGTCACGTGATGATTCTCGGGATGACTAAAAAGCGAAACGGAGAATTTTTTGTGTATCGGCAGCAACGAATGTGCGAAAGTGGAATATACCAACAATCCATAAATTTAAAAGCAAATTATGGGTTTGTTTGTTATATTTCTTGTTGTTCACATATGTTCTTGTGAGAAAAATCTTTCAAAAGCAATTTCAAAATATTTAAAGTATTACATTGTTGTAATCATGTTTTTTTTCTCCATTATAATGATGAATTTAGCTAAACGTACGGAGTTGGAAACTGACATACACAAATTTTACAAATGTTCTATGTTAATTTGAGAGCTTTCGTGTAATTATTAAAAATTATGTATTAACTTTGTAATGGCAAAAATATCATGATATCTAGGCTAAGAAAATTTACTTTGTCAATCATTGTATTAAATGGGTCCTATTTTAAAGGTCATTTTGGTTTATCTGACACGTGTTCAGGAAAAAAACTTCGTAATACCTTTTATACAACGAAAATGAACTTGAGTATTGTAAGCATAAAAAATCACACGCACACACAGAATGTTATTCCAGAGATTTCTCTTTAACTCTGATCAAAGCACTGAAAGCACTGGCTAAATAGAGAAAGAATCCGGCCTCATTATAGGACATTTAGGCTTCAACTTTATTAGTTAGTATTTCTTATGTATGTCTAGTGCATATAATTAAAATTCTATAAGAAAAAATCGATCTCCTTTGCTAGATAGATCTGAAATTTAATATTTATCATTTAACATACATACTTGCATATTTTATTGCATTGGATGTAAACTTTGTTGATGAGAAGATTACTACGTTTTGATCTAGACATTCAAAACTATAGGTAATTGATACATGTTTCATGTGCATGGTAAACATTATCAAGAAGGTCGAAAAAGAGTTACAATCTGGCTCTATTAATATTATTATTATCATTATTGATACAGCAGATATACTGATAAATTTCTTTCTTATAGGAAGGCCTCCGTACTAGTGATGGGTCAATTGAGCTGTGATTTAATGTTACCAATATATTGAAGCTTCCCGGTGGAAAGAAGTTGAGAGCGTTATAAGAGTAAAAAAGGAAAAC